TTGAGGCCGTTTCCTCAACTTGAGGCCGTTACTTTGCTTGTTACCAGGAGAAGGGACTGACCCCCACCAGGCTGCACCCTCCTGTCAGGGAGTTGCAGAGAGTGACCCCAGAATTTGAGGTGTGGCCTCACCTGCACTCAGTACAGGGGTTTGGTCACTGCTGTGATTCTGCTGGCCACTCTATTGCTCACACAATAGATAGGCTCAGATCTTACCTTCTTGACCAAATAGTTTCTAATTCCGAGGACATTTTCAGTCACTGAATTTATAAAAATGCCAGTAATGGGAGGAAGAGAGGAAGGATTTCTCTCACTGTGGCAAAGCCCTGTGTGCTTGGCACTGTGCAAGCTGCTCAAAGCCACCATGCTCCTCACATCCATCAGCTCCCTGGCTGCTTCTGCAAAATTCAGAGAGACAATGACCCGTCCTGGGGCTCTCTGGCATCTCAGAGGCTGTGGCTTGTCCCTTCACATCCTTTTAAACACATGTACAACACAGCGCAGGGTCCCTGCGGGGCTGTGCACTCCCAGCAGCTCTGATCCATCCGCTGTGAGCTCTCAGGGCTGTTTAACCTCTGCTTGGAGGATCAATCCAGCCCTGTGCCATGGCTCAGCGTTTGGGTCTGGCTGGGCTCACACTGAGTGCCTGTCACTAGATGGCAATGCCACGGAGTGGGAAGTGCCGCCGGCAGATTTGTGAGCACAAGCTCAGGCTCCATGTGAGGTCTCCAAACCTGCAGTTCCTGTTTGCTTTGGTGTGGTCATCAGTGAAAGCCTCGCTGGCATTTTCATGACTGAGGGTGATTGGATCTTAAGTTGGTTTTCACATGTGCTATTCAATGCTTTAGTTACATTTAAAACACACTATTATAATCCTGCAGCATCCTCTGGTGTTTTCCATTACTGCTTGAGTCCCTGGATGCCATAACTGGCAAGTTTTCAGAGGTCATGAATAGATTATCTTTCCATATCTATTAAATACTTTAAATAATGCAGCCTGAGACCCTGACAGCTCCAGCTGGGAACTGGAAAGGATGGTTAAAGCACTTAATTGCTTACTTTGCTAACAGTTATTTTGTGGAAACAGAAAGCAGAATACAGCTGTTTTGGGGAAAACCAGGAAGAAGTGAGCATAGGAGTCATTCTACAAAGAACATACACTGAAGTGGACAGCATGTGCCATGCTGGCGTCTACAAAGGCAGCACAGAACTGCTCTGCCACATGCCACCAGCTCAGTGTGGCTAAGGGCTGGTGACAACTGCATGTTTGTTCAAACAAAGCAGGATGAGGTGTTTGTATTTATGCAACCACTGTGTGCCCATTTTTTGGTGAAATCCTGAACAGCTTCACAGCCCATTAAAAGTAGGAGTTTGTGGGATGGCCTGCAGTAGGAGTTGGCAAGGGAGAGGATAAGCTGTGACAATTGTCATGGGCTAAAGTAGGATAGTTTGGGCCTTAGCCCCAGAAGGCCCAAGTGCTGTTTGTCTGTGGCTGTTTGTCCATCACTCTGAGCTCCACCTGCAGCCAAGCCACTCACAAGCCAGAGCTTCTGTCAACCTCTACAGGCACCTGAAAGCATGTCTGTGGGATTATCTAGCAGGTGAGAGTGATGCCCAGTGCATTCAGAGTTCAGCTACTCACAGCTGGAGCAGCTCCAGGATCACTTAGGGGTGATCTCAGCAGTACTCAACATGTGTAAATTCTCCTGCTCATTGCTCTCAGTATGAAGTGCAGGAGCACTCATGGAATGGGACAGGTTGGTGTTACACACAGTGTCCTGGAGGAGTCATACAAACACCATTTTCTCCTTTCACAAAGACTTGATGAATTATGTGGATCCCACCTCACCTTGCAGTATGAATGGCCTTACAGTGCAGCTACAGGCCAAATGGAGTGTGGCCCCAAGCACCCTGTGCTGGCTTCCCAGGGAACTGCCACCTCTGTACTTCCAGTCAGGGAATCTTACCTTCCATTCCTACAAAGCCATGTAGCTGATATGTGCCCAAAAGCAGTGGAGCGAGTAAGAACCGGGGCTGCAAACTCCCAGCCCACTCCCTCATCTGTTTTGTCATGGGACTTCTAAACTGCTCATTGCATGTTCCAGAAATGAGGAAATTAAATCCTTTCGTGCAAGAAGGGAGAGGCACATATTTGCAACAGCATTGAGAAGAAGAAAGACCAAATCTGCTGCTACTCATTCAATGTTAACTTCAAGCAGAGTTTGTTACAAGTTCCCATCTTATGTGTGTTTAAACAAGGTGACTCCCCCTTTTTTACAAATTAAATGTATAGGGCCTTGCTGTAAATGCACCCTCTTTGGTAGGCATTTTTTCCTTACCATCTGTAAAATGTGACACCTCTGAGGGTCTTGGAAAGGAAGCTGAGCCT